GTCCCCAGGTCTCGCCATACTGCTAGCCAACCAGGTCTCAATCCAGGTGGACAGCAGTCTGGTGAACATGATTGGACTTAGCTCACAACTTCATTGCTGTTGTTCCCCCCACTTCCACTTATCAGTAGACCAATGTGATCACCAGCAAGAGTACATGCCTGCTCATGTACTCCCCTTGAGTCTCAGTCTTGGAAGGGGGTTTGCACTGAGGGGACCCTACCACTTCCCTTGATGGCCCCCCTGGCAAACAGCTTGCTTATTCCTTTAGTCAGTTGGACTGCCGTTATTGTTTTCTATGTTTCCTGCTGGTCTTTCTTTTAAGAAGTGTCTTCTGTTCTTCTAGCAGCTCCAGGCTGGTCTGCTTGTCCTTTCAAGTGGAAATTTCCCACCTCAGAACATTCTTGATAGGGTTTCAGATTCCACCTATGGTCTTACACAACTTTCTTCTTCTTTAGATGCTTCCTGCATCATTCAATATTTTCTCCATAGAATCCTCAGTGTTTTAATCTGAGGCTAGAATTTGTTTCTTCTGTTCTTTCAGCTTGAGAAATGATGAGCATGTTCTTCCCTTTTTGTCTTCTGATTCCACATTGTGTTCACATTTCATTATTAATACTCTATCTTAAGATGCCCTTGGGAATTTTCTTTTTAGCTCTTTTTGTTCACTTCCTTCTTCCATTTACTTTAGTTCTCTAAGCTCAAGAGCAAGTTTCAGTCTCTTTAGACATCCATTTTGATCTTTTCTTGCTTGCTTGTTCTTGTGTGTGTGCGCACGCTATTCATTTTTTAAAACTATATATACTTATTGTGAATTGATTGAAGGTTTATAGAGCAGATCATCAGTGTTACATTTAAAAAATATATATACTTTGCTTGTAATCCCCTCCACGTACCATCAGTTAAGAGCATTTACCTTTATTCACTTTAACTCTTACCTTCCTATGTGGAAACCCTTCTCTAGGCTGGGTTTTCTAGAGAAGCAAAACCAGTAAAACTTACATCTGAATAAAGAGAAAGAAATGGCCATAATTATAGAGCTCCAGGTCCCCACTATAAGGGGACAAGCTTTTCCTGCATGTCCATTATATTGGGAGCAGGCCATTCCCACAAGGAAATTCCTTTGCAGTTGATGGTCTGCTCATAACCAGTCATCGTAGATTTACCTATAAACTGCCGAACGATTGGAAATCTTTGTGTCACGTTGCCACAAAATCCTAACTATCCTGTACCTTCATCTTTCTTCTCCACCCTCCCTCTTGTTAGCCCCATCGCCCATGTTGACATGTGTATACCTTCTAGCCCACGAATTGTTTTCCCTCCCTTAGCCCCATATGGGAACCATCCTGAAGTATTTCTTTTATAAGAAGACATTTTCTTAACCTTTTTCAACAGTGGTACAATACTTGCCCTTTTTTGATTGAGTAAATTCACTCATGATGATGTCCTCCAAGTTTATCTGTGTTGTGAGGTGCTTTGATTTTTCATTATTCTTCAGCATTGTATAGTATTCTATTGTGTGTATGTACCAAAGTTATGTTTACCCATTCTCCTGTTGGTGAGCATTTAGACTGTCTCCATTGTTTTGCTGTTGTGAATAGTGCTGCAGTGAACATGGGTGTGCACGTATCTGTGCCAGGGCTCTTATTTCTTCATGATATAAACCATGTAGAGGGATTGCTGGGTTATATATACGGTATTTCTGTTTCCATCTTTTTGAGACTGTGTCATACTGCCTTCCACAGTGATTGCATGATTTAACAGTTCCACCAGCAGTGTAAGAGGTTCCTGTTCTCCACATCTTCGCCACATTTGTTGTTTTCTGTTTTTTTGGAACTATGCTATCAATGCTGGAGCAACATGATTCCTAATTGTTGTTTTGATTTGCATCTCTTTAATAACTTGAGACATATACTTATGAAGATCACAGAGCACAGCCTTCAATATGGATTACATCTCAGTGTTAAGAAAACAAAAATCCTCACCACTGGACCAATAAACAACATTCTTATCAATGGAGAAGAGATTGAAGTTGTCAAGGACTTCATTCTTCTTGGATCAACTATCAACACTCGCAGAAGCAGCGGTCAAGAGATTAGACGACGTATTGCATTGGGCAGATCTGCTGCATGGAACTTTTTAAAGTATTGAAGAGCAGAGATGTCAGCTTGAGGACTAAGGTGCACCTGAGCCAAGCCATAGTATTTTCAATAACCTCATATGGATGCGAAAGCTGGACAGTGAATAAGGAAGATCATAGAAGAATTGATGCCTTTGAGTTATGGTGTTGGAGGAGGATACTGAAAGTGCTGTGGACTGCCAAAAGAACCAACAGCTCTGTTTTGGAAGAAGTGCAGCCAGAGTGCTTCTTGGAGGTCAAGATGGCTAAGCTTCGTTTCTCCTACTTTGGACACATTGTCTGGAGAGAACAGTCGCTGGAGAAGGATGTCATGCTGGGTAAGGTGGAGGGTCAGAAAAAAAGAGGAAGACCCCCAATGAGATGGATCGGCCAGGTGGCATCATTGATGGCGTCAAGTGTGGCAGCGGTAGTGAGGTTGGCCCAGGATCGGACATTGTTTTGTTCTGCTGTGCATGGAGTTGCTATGAGTCGGTTCCGACTCGATGGCACCTGACAACAACAATAGATAGCTAATGATGATGAGCATTTCTTCATATGTTTATTGCCCACCTGAGTGTCTGTTCATATCGTCTGCCCATATTTTAATTGGATTATTTGTCATCATCTTATTGAAGTGTTGAAGTGTTTTATAAATTAGAGAGTAGTGCTTTGTCTGATACATCATTGCCAAACATTGTTCCCCGTGTGTGGGTTCTCCTTTCACTCTGTTGGTGAAGTCCTTTAATGCACATAAATGTCTAATTTTTAGGAAGGTCGCAGTCATCTATTTTGTATCCTGTTTTGTGTTTTCAGTTACGTCTGATGATGCATTTATACCATAGATCAGAGCCCCTGTGTCCACGTTTTTTTCATAGAGGATTGTCATGGTTCTAGGTTTACATTTAGGTCTTTAATCCTCTATTTCTGAAGGTCTCTTTTGGTTAATTGTTGTTAAGTGCCATTGAGTCAATTCCAACCCATAGCGACCCTGTATAGGGTTTCCAAGGTGTGGCTGATGAGTTTGAACCACCAACTTTGCAGTTCATACTGACTTTGCAGACCAACTCATTACTCCCACAGCCCCACAAAGTGGGTTTTTTGGTGGTTTTTTTTTTTCATTTTTGTAATTTAAAATATTTATTATAGTTTCAAAAACATCAGTGTTTAAATAATTCAATACATTTTATCAATCCTTGATGTAGAATGATTTTTAACAAGGTTTGAATTGTGATACTCCTCAGTTAACCATAAATACCCTGGTCTCCCTAGGACTGTCCAGCATTTGTACTAGTGTTTTGTAGGGGTTTTTTGGTATAGGTCTTTGGTTTTCTGGTTATGTTTATTCCCACATATTTCATCTTTTGGGTGGCTATTGTAAATGGTATTGTCTTGATTTCCTCTCAGCGCTCTCTTTATTACTGTAAAGATATCCTGCTGACTTTAGTGTGTTGTTTTTGTATCCTGCCACATTGCCATTTCTATCAATGATTTCCAATAATTTCTTCCTGCATCTTAGGAATTTTTAAAATATAGGATCATATCACCTGCAAATCGAGAGTTTTCCTTCTTATTTGCCAGTTTAGATGCCTTTACTTTCCTTTTCTTGCTTTACATCTCTGGCTGAGATTTTCAGCACAATATTGAATAGGAGTGGTGATAAAGGGCAGCTGTAACTGGTTCGTGTTCTCAAGGAGAATGGCTTCAGATTCTCACCATTGCAAATGATGCCTTTAGTTTCTCAGTTCATCTATTTCCATGACACATAAAAGTAGATCAGAATGCTTTCAGTTGGACTTGTCACTGCTGTTGAGTGTCCTCAAGTTGGTTCTGACTCACGGCGGCCCTGCATAGGGCTTCCGATGAGTGGCTTGTGAGTTTGAACCACTGACCTTCTGGTTGTGTGCTTATCCTACAGTGCCCCCAGGACTCCCAGTTGGCCTCAGTTCACCCAGCAGTTGGAATGACTGCAGGGGTGGTCAAGCAGAGGCGTTCTGTCTGTTGTCTTGGGTTCCCTGCCTTGGGCACTGTCAGGCCACTCTCCTGTCTTCACTTTGGCTGACCTCAGCCTCACACCCACAAGAGAGCACTGTTTGTGTCTAAGCTTCATTTGCATAGCTTTGATGTCATCCCCCTAGAAATGTAAGTGTAAACCTAAGAAACAATGTGTGAGTGGTTGGAGAGTATTGCTTTCAAGTGATGTCATGATTTTGTCCCATCTAAGACCCCCTAGACCTAGTCTGTAAGTTCCGATAACTGGAGGGAGCCTGGGATCATAGTAAATGATGTACAAACAAATAGGTGTCATTAGTTTTATTTCTGTGACCTTTAAATCATGACTCACAAATTATATTTTCTTACACCTGGACTTGGACAGCAGAAAAATCAAGGTCATTTTTCTGAAACAATGACAAGAAAGGAAACAATGATTTAGAAAAGATACTCATAAAAGACCGTCGGAAAAATCCCTAAACGAAAGCAGAATCGTTAAAAGTTGAATGCTAGTTCAGGATTTTATTATAATTAGCTGTTTATTAATGTCGTGTGTAAGTTTATAAATGGTCCCGATTACTAAGAGGTAACGGACTCAACCCAGCAACACTTTCTGACACATTAACTGGGGGCTCAACTCATGGGAAATGGAAGAATTTGTAATAACCTGATGGCAGCAAGCAGCAATCAGCAGCTAATCTTCTCAGACTTCTTAATTACCAAAAGCATACAATTTTGATATAGAAAAATAGGTCAATTTTATAAAATTTAGCCTGTAGATCAAAAAGCACCTCTTTTAAACAGGCAGAGAGATACGGAAAAAATAGTCCCTTAAAAATGTCACCAAACAGCCCATGGGAAGCTGATACGCTGATACACGGGGTGCAGCAGTGACTCAGCTGCTGGCCAGAGACTGGTGGATCGGGGGCTGGAAGCAGCGGACGTGCTCCACAGGCGTGCTCTCTCCGTCTCCTGACTTCAGGTACTTGTCCAGGATATTGATGATCTCATCATTGAGTATCTGGAACTTGCGAATCCTCTCCACCATCTTCTTCAAGGGCTAGGAATTGAAATTAGAGTGTGTTCAAAAGTAGAATTAGCATGCACTAATTTGAAATGTTGTGCATGTATTGCTTATGTTTCAAATGTAGGAAAGTCATTTGCTCAGGAACAACGTCAACCAAATGGTACTGACACACATACTATCTCTTTAATGCAACTATTGGAACTAGTTTTCAACAGAAACATATTTCTTTGTAGGTCTCCTGCTACTGACAGATACACTCGTTGATATAACTTAAAGATCTATTCAGTCACCTAATAGGTCAAAGGAACGCTGTAGCACAGTAGTTAGCCCTTGAGTTGGGCTGCTAACTGCATGGTCAACAGTTCAAATCTACCAACGCACTCTGTGGGAGAAAGATGAGGCGTTCTGCTCCCGTAAAGATTTACAGCCTCGGAAACCCTACACAGGGCTGCTATGATTTGGAACCGACTCGACAGCACTTAACAACGGGCTAGTTCAGGGTGCTGGTCCTTCTCCTGTGTCTTAGATATAATTCGACTGTTTAAAACAATGAAAGCTGCAGGGTAAGGACTGTCTTTAGCAGAAAATAAAGATAGGAACACACAGGGCAAGGTCCAGGGTGGAGTCTCCTTCTAGAAGCTCCATGGAGCCTCCATTTCCCAAAGCCTTTGTTGGCCTTGTTTCTGAGCTGGAACAGACTGGACAGCACTTAATAACATGTGATCATTATAGAATACATCATGTCTGAGCGGCTAGTTAGCACCGGGCACCCAGAAGATTCCCCTTGGGCTCATAAGTCCCTACTCGGCCTCAGGTGTGGTCCTGCTCTCAGGAGCCAGAGCCAAAAGCCAAATTGTTTACTGCAAAGGAGTTCCAGCCTTGTACCTTCAGATTCAATGTGTAAAGAAAGGAAAATGATCAATTACTTCCCAGAAAGGATCTTTGGTGGCACAATGGGTAATGTTTCAGTTATGAAACAAAAGGTCAGTGCTGTGAATCCACCAGTGGCTCATGTGATGAGAGACCTGGCGATGCACCCTCATTTCACCCTAGGGAACCCTAAGGAGCAATGCATTCAGAATTGACTTGTGTAGCATCAACAACCCAGATCTAAGGACTGAACTCTTGATTGCTGAAATCTATAAACTGCACTAAACTAGACACAGCTGAAGTGAATGGGATCGATGTGAAGACACCAGTCACAGGAATGGAAACTATGAGGGCGTCCAATGGCCCCTACGGATCTCCAGGCCCTGATCCCTACAACCTTAAATGGCAGCAGCAGGAGGTTTTCACATGAACTCTAAATATGGACCTGATAATAGGCGTGTCCTGGGTTATACAAGTGGATCTAAGCTAGTATGTTCCAACAGGGAACTTTATCCAGGTGGCATGAGAGATGGTGCAAAAGGGGAAGTCAGATGAGCAGAAGCATGGCAGGAGCTTGACCTTCTCCTGCACTGTGCAAAGGGAAATGGTACGTATAGTAAGCACTTTCACTGCCAGACAGCTTTAAATCCCAATTGCATTTAGATTCATTTTGTGAATGGGAAAAAAAACAAAAAACCCTTCAGTTAGTGATATCTCATTCACTGGGATAAAAACCACTCCCGGGCATGTTAAATCAATAATATATGATTTTTTTCCACTTACCACGTTTTTTATAATCTCATCTTTGCCATCATGTTTTTGGACTTTGAGCAAATGGTAGCAAAAATCCAGCACAGCAAAGCGTCGCTGTTGCCCAAGAAGTACAATGATCATACATCCAGCCCAGTGGAGCCCGTCACCAAAACATTGCCTACCAACGAGAAGAGAAAAATGGGAGATCAATTAACAAAAGTCATGAGTTTGTCTACAGACATCACTGTCGTTCCACAGCCAGCTGGACTTGGATCTGTCATAGAACGGTAAGCAGCAGGTGAGGTTTCATTTCGGCCTAACACCTTTTTTGGGTTCCTCTGGTATACTATTTCGGAACCTTTTTCTAATTGTAGTCTCTCCATGAAGAATGACTTCATGAAGCCATGGACCTTCTCCCAGGAAAAATACACTCTACTTTGCGTACATTTGCATGGGTTCAGTGACTCCCTGAAGTGTGCCCCAAATCATTTCATTGGTATGAAATCTGCCATGCTGTCTAAGTAAGCTTCTGGTCTGGTCTGCCCAACATCAGCTTCTACTTCTCCTCCTCTACTGGAACTGGACCTTGCTCCACAGGGTAAGACTAAGCACATACTTACTCAACCGTAAACTCATGTGTCCCCACAGGAATGCAGTAGACAAATTGCATGGCGCTCCAAAGCCTGTGAAACTCAACACACTCGTCCACATGCATGACCCCATTGCTGGGAAGAGGGCCACGCCAGATAGGATCATCCAGAAAGGTCCGAACCCGAGTCAAGATGACTTCGAACATTGACAGGCCACAGCAGAGGCGCTCCTTGGTCAGCAGGTCCCCCTCTCTTGCTATTGCAATTTGCTGCAGAAAGGAAAAGTGATCAAGTATTATGGGTCATAGCAGGAAACAGGTGCTACCCTAGCTTTGTTTATGACTCAGTGGGAAATAGCTCAGCTTACAGAATAAAGCCATCAGCAGTGACCTATGAGGGGACTTTAAAAAGTCTGTAGGAAAGTTCCATCATGTCTTAATTCTATTTTCATAAACTTCTTGAAGCCCCCTCGTATTTGCCTGACAAAACTTGGTATATTTCAGATCAAAGGGCAGTCATCCAGTACAGTTCTTAACCAGGAGCCAGCGATGGTCAGGGTGTGTGATCGGAAGCCTTCCAGGTCAGCCTGGTCCCGCTGCCCGTGCTGATTAGGGCACAATGCCAGAGCACACCTACCTGAGGGGTCCCCAGTCTCTCAATCAGAGGAACAAGGTGCAGTGGGGCATACTTTGATTCCAATCTCTTCATTTTGGCTTCCAGTCTCTCTCCCTCTGCAGTGGAAACAATATATTATCCTAGGTTCTGTTGTATGGAAAAATGACTCTGAACGTTCATTTTCTTTTTCCGACAACACAGATCAACAACAAAAAACCTTATTGTTTACATAATATTTCATTGTGTTTTTGGTGAACGTTTACAAGAAGTTTAAGTTCTCATTTAACAAGTTCTACAAAAATTATTCAGGGCTACTGGTTACACTGTTTGAAAAATGTATAAATATTGTCATTAATTCTGTTATATTCCCTTTCCAGTAGTCAGGTTTCCCTGCCCCGCCCGTTACTTTCTCAACTTCGCTTCAGGGTAGCTGCTGTATGACTGGATTGGTCATTTTTCATAGCATCACAGGACGGAACCACTCTGCTATCAGCACAGGTGATAGTTTAAAGAGAAAATGAGAACAATAGTGTCAGGGCATACTCCAGTGTCAACGAATCCAGTAAGTCTGGACAATTTAAGAACTGGAGTCTTGTACCACGTTTTTCTAGCATTCTACAAGATCTATCTACTGTGGACCTGAACTGTGGGTGGCCCTGGAGTGCTAGTCAGGCTTTATCTTGTTCTGCTGGGCTCAGTTCTCCTTGGTAGACTATTTGTTCTGTAGACGAGTTCCTTCTTTCTCTTTTGATCTGGACAAGTAGAGAACAATAGTCAAAGTCTCCTACTCTTATTGCAGGAGTACTGGTGACTGTAGGATAAGCACAGGACTACCAGCCACAACATCTGCAGGAGAAAGATAAAAAACTTTTTGCTCTTGTAAAGATTTACTACAGTCTTGGAAACACTGTACATGGTTGCTACGAGTTGTAATCAGCATGAATGCACCTAAGAACAACAAAACACATGTAGCGTTCTCGATTTCTGTGTTCAATGGTTTGTTTTATTTATGTATTTTGCATCTCTCATTGGGTGCATAGATATATTCAATATGGTTATGTCCTTTTCTTCAAGTGATCCTAATCATTAGATAACGTCCTATGTCTCTTATGCTCGTTTTTGTTTTAAAGTCTGTTTTATCAAAAATGAATATTACTATTCTGTTTCTTGATTGCTGTTAGCTTTATTTTATTTTCCATTCATTGATTTAAATTTTTTTTTTGAACTATATGCCAGTCCTAGTGTAGAGTACTACTATAGGATAAACACTGGACTGCTAACAAAGTTAGCAGTTCAAATCCAGCAGCTGGTCCGTGAGACCCTATACAAGGTTGCTGTGAACAGGAACCAACACAACAGGGCATACCAACTTCTGCTGCATCTGAGTTTTGGTATCTTGTATTTTCAATCTTGTTCCATCCTAAATATTTTCAAATTTCAGTTTTCATTTCTTCTATGACCAAGTAGTTGTTAGTAGTATGTGATTTAATTTCATTTATATATTTCCTTTCATTATTTCTGTTGTAGATTTCTACTATCATATCATTGTGGTCAAAGATGTTTTATATGATTTCAATCTTTGAGAATTTCTTGAGGTTTAATTTGTGACTTAAAATATAGTATATTTAGGAGACTGTCCTAGCCAGGTGCCTTGCAAAAGAGTGTATATTTTGCTGCCTTTTGACGGTGAACTTATATGTGCCTATGAGGTCCAGTTGGCTAATACAATCATTCAGATCTGCTGTACTTTATTAATTTTAGCTTTATTCTGCTTCTTTGTCTATTATACTGGATGTTGATTTAAAATCTACTTTGTCAGCTATTAATATTGCCAGTTTTGCTTCCTTTTGGTTACTGTTTGCTTTGTGTATTTTTTTCCCGTTCTTTGTGTCTAAAGTGTAGCTCTGGTAAAATTTATATTCAGCAGTTATTCCCACCCCCCCCAAATCCATACTGCCACTCTGTTTATGTTGTTAGGTGCCCTCGAGTCAGTTCTGACTCATAGCGACCTTATGCACAACAGAACGAAACATTGCCCAGTCCTGTTCCATGCTCACAACTGTTGGTGCTGAGCCCACTGCTCATCTCCTTGAGGGGTCTTCCTCTTTTTCACTGACTCTCTACTTTACTTAGTATGATGTCCTTCTCCAGGGACTGAAATATTTTTTCCATGGAATTGCCTTGGATTGCCGACCTGTATTGAAAACCGGTTGATGTGAGGGTTGATTTCTGGAATCTCTATTCGAGTCCATTAATCCATGTCTATCCTTACACCAGGGCTATACGTCTTGATTTACTGTAAACTTTGAAATCAGGAAGCATGAGTCTTCCAACTTCACTCTTTTTCACAGTTGTCTTGGGTCTCGTGGTTTCCCTTGCATTTCCATACAGCAGATCAGCTCATCAGTTTCTGAAATTAGCGGAGAATTTGAAATGATTGTACTGACTTCAGTCAGTGTGGAGAGCTTGGTATTTTACATAAGTCTTCAAATCCACGAGCCTTCTAAATAATGAAAATATGTATATGTGTCTTGCAGTGTGGCAATGTAGGATAAGCACTGGACTGCTAACCCCAAGGTTGGCAGTTCAGACCCACCAGGCTGCTCCTTGGAAATGACTGCACTTACCGACAACGGCATTCATGTCATAAAGGTATGGTGACGTGCCCTTAGATCTAGGGAGGGATGCACAGTCCTGGAGTGGCACTGCAGGATAATCACTGGACCACAAGGTCACAGGTTCAAACCCACCATCCAGGACTTGGAAACCCTATAAAGGGTTGCTGTGAGTCAGAACTGACTTGACAGCATGTAACAACATGCAAGCAAAGGCTTAAGCTTGAAATTTTCAGATGTAAAAATGTTACCTCAGAGCCAGCCGATGCATTTATATGCCCTGGGGCATTTTTCCCCTTTTGAAATGTGGGTCCTTTCAGGTGTTTTGTTTCATTTGTCGTCTTGTCTTAGACTCTCTTCTTTTAGGAAAGCAATCTCTTCTCCCTTAAACACCCTCATTCCTTAATCCTTTTTTCAACATTCCAGGAAAAGCATGCCTGTCACTTACACAGGTGCTCACGCGGCTTCTCACACCTCGCCCATTTATGTAAACAATGGGACCCCCTCACTCTGAGAGAACCGAGCCAACCCCTTGTTGTTGTTACATGCCCTCAAGTCTGTTTCAACCCATAGTGCCCCTGTACAGGGTTTCCGAGGAGTCACTGATGACCTTGAAGCGCCAACCTTGCGGTTCAAAACAACTTTGCTGGTTTGCAGTCCAGCGCATTAACCCGCAGCGCCACACCCCCTAGGTGCAACGAACTGTTCATCACAAACCCCTCATTGGCTGCACATGCAGCTTCTAAACCACTGGACAAGTCTTGTAGGAAAGTAAGGCTACTAGGCATATTATGCTGATTCTGATCTAATCAAATTGTCAGCAGCCTTTTTGTTGCAATGACTAAACCACTGCTTGGCTTAGTAATACTCGGAGCTTTATAGGACAGGTCGTTTCGCAGGCTCCATTTTCCTCATTGGCGGGCTATAACCTAACACCTGCTGACTGCTTCATCCTCACTTTGGATCCTTTTCCCATTCTTTGATGCACCACCAGCACTGACATTGGATTTACTTTGGAGGAATGGTTGTAAGGGTAAATAAGAGGGAAATGTAAGCCAAATAAAAAGTTACACACTCAACACAGTGTAAGCAGCAGCCTGAGCCGACTTGAAAGGGCAGAAGGTATTCTCTGGGCTGACACCGCGGGAAGAGAGCACTGTTTCAGTGACATCACAGAGAAGCCTGTTTGTGTGATTATGAACTGCTGTATGCCACTCAGCTTTCGTACAATGACAGGCTTTAGCATTCTGCTTAATAGTCTGAAATCAGATTCTTAACCTGGGGACTAATTCCCGTTGTTTGTACATTATATTGAAGGAAATCCCAAACACCTTCTATTTCAGTCATAAGTATTTTGTTGAGTCACTATTTACTGAACAAGGTAATATACCCTCTTCCCAGTTATCCCTCCTTCTGATTAAACAGGCAGAAACTCACAAGCCACACCCTCCCTTGTTTTAGGCATAGCCACACAGACTACAGCCTCATCACAGCGGATGGTGAGCTGCACACTTACCTTTCACATGGACTCTGGGCAAAATATTCTGAAAAGGGGCGGCATGCAACAGGTCACACACTTCTTCTAATGACTAGAACACAGAGAAGGGCAGGTAAGAAGTTCATTCTCAGCGCAGAACTGGAGAAACATGAAACAATGTACATAGTTGGTTATCTACTGTAAAATCAGTACTACCCGTAGCACTGCAGAGGTGCTGCTGGGTAAGCAGGGTCGGTGGTTCAAGCTCACCAGCCACTCCTTGGAAACCCTACACAGGGTCACTATGAGCCGGAACCGACTCAGTGACAGCAGCAGCAACAGGACTGTCAGAGTAAGAAAACAGGAGGAACAGTATTGGGGCAGCAGAAAAGCAGCCATGGGAAGATGTACAAAACCATAATATAAACCTCCAAATACAGAGGAACCAGGCTATAAACGAGATAACATGGTAAAAACCATGGATCTCCTGGGGAGCCTCCCTCCCTATTCAGCAACGCAGGGCACTTGGTAGCCAATAGCTACACATTGTTGTTGCTGTTGTTAGGTGCCATCGTGAGGTACGACGCTGTCTGTGATAGGATAACATGCATGCGCCTACAGGGAAGACCAGTTAATAACCACTATTCAAATTCACGCACCAACCACTAAAGCCAGTGAGGATGAAATAGAATTTTACCAATGTCTTCAATCTGAAATTGATCAAACATGTAATCGAGCTACACATTAGCCTGCCCTTTAACCAGTTTTCAGTGCAGGTGCAAAACCAGCCATGTCAAGTATCCCAGATGCCTCTGCTGCGGAATCCATCCTGAAATCTGACTCTTATCACTGAGACCTGATGCACAGGCGTGGGACCAAGTAACTGGAAGTGACACACAGAGCGGAACTATACAAGCAGGAAGGCCTGGCCCCTTTTCAAAGGGATCTCCCTGCAAAGCCCTGCCAGGTGGTAAGCGGAAGATATTGCTGCCCTTGGCAGGTTTCTCTTGAAGGTATTGTGAGTTTATGAAAAACCTCACAACACGGTTGAAACTGGAGGACAGTATGCTGAGTGAAATTAGTCAATCACAAAAAGACAAACTCTATTTAAGATCTGTGCCATGTTGTAAAAAGTTGAAAAAGAATGTAAACTCTGCTCTATAATTCTTCACTCAATTCCCAATTTAAAAAAAAGGCATGATTAAACACAGACATGGCCATCATTGAGAAGAGCCTCATTGCAGTGAGTGTTGAAAACACTAGATCCCTGGGGACCTGACACTCCATCTCCCCAGACTGGTTCCCAGGAGGCCAAGCTCCTGTAGGCAGACCCAGCCAGCCCGCTCTTCTCAGGGCATGACAAGGGGAATGACCATTAACTCTAATATCTTCACTGATGAGAGTGGGAGACACAAGTGTCATCACATCTACGCTTGCTGTCCTAGGATGGGGGGTATAACCACCATCAGGTAAGGGTTACTCCTGGGGGGATTCCCATTCTTGACAACCTGGTGGAAACCATTAACCTATATTTCCAAAACGATAAGCGCAACAACACAAAATTCAAGTCTGTGGCTGGGCTTGGGGCACAATGTCCCACCTGACACTTGGAACTTCTCTCTACCCGTCTGATGTGGGGAGAAGCCAGGAGTCAAGGGAGATGGGGAGTGGAGGTGGGAAAGAAGGGCATGCAGAATAGTCAGGGTTCAGCCCACCACTCATTAGCCAGGTTTGCAAATGTCGCTAAGATTGACAGCTAGCTATGACCTATGGCCCACATGCCCAGCACTGCACTGTCTTCAAGGAGAGGCACAAGCTGTAGTCTGAGACACGCACAGGCTCCCACCACAGAGGTATTTCACAAGAAGGCAGCAATGTTGGGATCCATACTGGAAATGCAAAGACTCTCCCAGGTTCCCGAGACCCAAGAAGGCCCCTTCCTGCCTGAGGAATCCACTACCATAAGGAAAACAGGATCTGGGCAGGCCTGGATCACACTAGTCAACAGACGCTCTCCTTTCCTACCTTTCTAATGCAGTCCCTGCATGGTGCCAACAGTGAATATGCTCAGGCATAATTTCCACTCCACAGCAGCTTCGTTCCTTCCTCCTCAGACAAGTCCTTCTGACAGAGCACCTAATAAACTAACATCTACCTGCTGTCAGGGGAGCCGTCCATCATGAGATTAGATCCATGCAGAGGAGAGCTTGTCTCATTCTGTGCTGTGGGCTCAGGAAGGCTGCGCATGCAGTTCATTTTCAAGTACTCTAGATTCATTACTCAATGCGATTTTCACTAACTGATACGGTTCCTTAAAAATTCACAGTGAGAACATTGGTCTCCACGACTCTGAGGCCAGCATTAGAGGATGCCCGGCTACCACTAACAACTGCTCTGAAAGAGATCACATTAGAAGGTCCCCAAATCAAGTGGGAGAAAATGTGAGGAAAAAATATTAAAAAGCAAAACAAAACACTTGGCTTACTGGTCAGAAAGAAGAACCTGAGCCTACGGCCCTCGCTCACCCTTCAGGTCTGGAAAAGAACTCACCCTCGTGACCTATTTTCAGTCAAGCAGTAGATAGGTAGTAGAGGAGACAAGAACACTAGTAAAGTCTGCTCACCATTCAAAATCAAAAGGGCCACGTGTATCTAAGGAGGAAGGTAACAAGGGATGGGAAGGTGGGTGGACTGGACGTGGATGCGGGGGAAGACATGTGCCCATGCTCTGAACCTGTGGTGAGGGGCCAGGGCTGCAGGACTCTCTCTTGCCACCCTGTCGAAGGGTCTGCTTAGGAGTGTAAAAAAACAAGGGAGATGTAGCTCCTGACAGGAAGCTGTCTTCTCCTGGATGTAGCCATGTCTGGCCCTGCAGTGCTGGTATGGGATGTCAACCTATCAGCTTCATCCTGAGGACACTGCCAGTCCCAATCCTAACTGCTGAGCAGACAACAGGTACCCGAGCCCCTCTCTCCTTCCAAAGCCCAACGTGGCCTCCAGAAAGCCACCAGGGCACTGGGTGATACATGTAGTCCAAGAGGCCACCATGAGAACCAGCCTTCCCCAGATAGGTGCAGGCGCAGCATAGTTACTAAAAGCCTTTTATAATAAATTTGGTAAGTCATTTAAAAAACCCACAGGTCAGAGTGATGATTCATTAAGAGCCAGTTTGGCTCTGTAGGATCAGCACTGGACTGTGAACCACAAGGCCGGCAGTTCAAACCCACCAGTGGCTCCTTTCCTTGGAAACCCTATACAGGGTCGCTGTGAGTCGGCACCAACTTGACGGCACTTAATAACAATCACAACAAAACTCCTAAAGAAGAGGGAGATGGTGGGAGGTGCCCTGCTAGGTGCAGACCAGTTTGAGTTGTAATGATGAAGATCTCCTACCCCCACAAAAAGTGACCAATAGAATGGAGCAGAAATCCTGGAGACAAATGAGCGTGTCAGGGCAACGTAGACAGCAGGGAAAAGGGGAGCTCTCCACCAAACACAGAAGGCCTCGCTGATTCATCACCCCACACATAGAAAGGAAGCTTCGCCAATATCTCAAACTGCATACACCAATCATATCTACGAATATCGTGTCTTTAGTGTGAAAAGCAAAACATAAAAGAATACCTTTAAAGATCCCTAGGTAGGGAAGAACTTCTTTTAGGAAGATAAAGTGCTAACCATTTTATTGATATTGAGTGTCCTGGTGTGGTACTGTATGATAAGCACTGGACTGCTAACCGCAAGGTCAGTGGTTCAAACCCACCAGCCACTCTTTGGAAACCCTATACAGGGTTGCTGTGAGTCGGAAGCGATTCAACAGCACTTTAACAAGACACAACATACACATACGCCAGTGTGTGTAGTTCACAAGGCACATGTAGCTATTGTAAAGTAACTAAAATTCAATCAAATTAAAAACCCAATCCCTCACTCAGCCACACTCTGAGTGTACAACACACAGATATGGATGGAATTATTTCCATTACTAAAGACAGCACTCCTGAGGGCAACAAATCTGTACACACCTGACACGTTTGTCGCCTGAGGTAGCTGAGTTGGAGCAAGTATCAACAACAGAACATTTCTCAGTGCTCACACAGAAAAACATTCTGGAGACGATGAACTATACTGCTGTTTTGTTTCTTTTTTCCAATTGCAGGGAATAAATTAAAGTCTAAAAAGAACAGTGCTTTTTACCACTGTGCCCCATCTTCCACGAAATATCCCCAAACAATACCAGAGTCTGAGAAAGCCCCTTCCACTGTTGCAGTTGTGCCTTACCAGGCTCTGCTCAATGAGCAGACAGAAGAGGATGGCATTGCCCACCTCCCTCAGGTTCTGGAAGCACACTGTCTTCAACTCCGCATACTCCACTATGTCCTTCAGCTGATGGTGGAAGAACTCAAGGATACCTGTGGGCAGAGAGAGATTGGCATGGTCAGGGAGGCTGAAAGAGGCAGGGCCCTAAGCAGGTGGAACCCTCCGCCCTGCCATGGAGATGCCCGCCCCCTGAGCAGGCCCTCCAAACACCTAGGTGAATGGGCATGGGGAGCGACAGGGCCTCTCAGTGAGCCCTGTCCTGCCAAGGAGGTGCAGTCACCGGTATATAGGACCGGACAAGCAGAAAGACGGCTGGAGAGAACTGAGTGTCCACTCCCAGGCACAGATCCAGTTCTGTCACAATGACTACAGGCCAGAGCAGAGCAGCTCCACAGATCAGATCAGCTGCTAGGATTGAGCCACTGCTTAACTTACAGTGCCATCAGGAATTCTGATAGGCATGCTGGTTGTTGCTAAGTGCCATCAAGTCATTTCTGACTCATGGTGACCCTGTGTAGGGTTTCCAAGGAGAAGCTGGTGGATTTGAACTGCCAGCCTTGTGGATGGCAGTCCAGTTGCTTATTCTAGAGTGCTCTATACCAGGACTCCTCTTACAGGTATGGTGGTGGGTATGTGCCGTGGAGTCAGTTACGACTCATAGTGACCCTGCATGAGGTTTCCGAGGCTGTACATTTTTACAGAAGCAGAAAACCTCAAATTTCTTTTGCTGAGCAGCTAGTAGTTTTCAACTGCTGACCTTGAGGTTAGCAGTCTGACTCATAACTGCTACGCTACCAGAGCTCCTTTCTTATAGAGGGAAATTATGTAATCAGATAGTGAGCATCTGTCCACTTTCTCCCCAGGTCCAGATCAAGAAACTGCCTCCCCCCCCACACCTATGGTTGCCTTGATGCCTGCAAAATGTAGCAGGCATGAGAAGACACAACTCACAAACAGGAGCCAACAGACCTCAAGAGATCTCTGAATTTGATGCTAACCTAGTCAACAGAGGGAAGGAAATAGACAGGCTAGTCCCAAAGCTGGAAGGGGAGAAGGATGAGGTGGGTTTTGTGGGGAAAGAAGGGGAAGGCGGGGATTATGGGGGAGGGGAAGCTGGAGAAAACAAGGGGAGAAGAGAGATGCCCACCATCACCCCATGGGATGTCTTGAGTTGTAGTCCCTAAGCCCCAACACCAATGTTGAACCCACAGTCCAGCCCCCAGCTCCTCTACAGTTGGGAATTTACTGGGGGAGGCCTGGGAGGTTCTTTCAGTGCCTTAGGGACTACCAGGCACCTGGTTACTCTGGATGAGGCCTCCGATTCTCACCTGTTAAGACTACCCACCAGTACACTTCCCACACATCTATCCTCCCACCAGGGAGAGCAAATCTAATTGACACGAGTCCCTTCTGACTCGACTCTCCCTGTGTCCAAGACCGGGCAGGTTCACCTCCTTTCCAAAGACCCGTGCATGGGGACTGAGCCCTCGGGCAACAGCAGAAAGTACCCCTGCCCTCCCCACCCCACCCCCACCTGTTCACCCTCTCACCAGGAGAGCCGTATTCATGCCGGGGCAGGCGGCATATCTTGGGCATCACTTCCATCAGCGTCCTCACATACTGCAGGATGGTGCCTTGTAACTGTGGAGGACACGGCTGCGTCAGTCCTAGGAAGTGGAAGCTGGAGCCTGCTGCCTTCATACAGGGACGAACAGCAGAGTCTCTGGCTGGAATTCAGTCCCACAGGCAGCAGAGGCAGCACCATTGCGGGTGTCTCCACACACTAACTAAAGGCACATTCCAAACCCACATGCTTTTCAGAGCACAGGTCCTGAGGGATGCCAGCCAGCAGGGATGGCTTGGAGCATTCAGGTGCTTGCACTGCAATTTCTGACAATCGACACACACGTGCAACTCTAAGGGAAAAACAGAGTGGCCAGCAGAGTCGCCAGGCATGCTCAGTGAGTGCAGCAGCGTTGTGGGCTGCGCCTGGGGGTACATATACTGAGAGGTCTGACTGGAACACCAGCTGTGTGTCAGATCCGATATAATGGCCCACTCCAGAGCCTCTTGGTCAAGACTCGGTAGCACGGGACAGTGGGTAGGCGCTTTCTGGTTATGGGTTACACATTTGAGAAACCCCATTCCTGGTGATGAGTGGGCAGTTAGGTATGGCCAATGTGCATGGCTGCACCAAGCAGTCAAGAGTGCTCTAGGGGAAGGCAGTTCTCCCAGGAGGCTCTGCACCTTTGACAAGCTCGGGGTCTCTGCCACACTTGTCCCATTACCTCAGGAGTGCTGGGGCCTAGCAGGACCTGGAAGAGTCACGTCTTATGACTGTGCCTAGCAATCAAAGTCACCTAGGTTCTAAAATGTTTTCATTTTCACCAATGTGATTGTGAGTTTACAATGCCTTAGAATTCTGTACGCCTTTGCTTTGCCTAACCACTTTAATTCAATCTTGGTCCAGCTGACATGCCAAACAAGCTTTTGCCTTAGCCAGCATGTGAATCATGGGAAAGACAGAACCTTTACATTCAGCAATAAAGGATTTTTTAAATAGATGGGCTCAGTCACAAAAAGTTTTAAAACATTTAATATTTTCATAGAAGAAACAAGGTACCTTTTATAGTTAATGACAGAAATACAGAAATGAGATATATACCAAAAAAAGAAAATCCCTTAGGGTAAATCCCTCAATGATCTAACCTTTCTAAAAGGTCCTGATGAGCAAACCTCTGTCTACAAAGACTGTCTTACCTCTGACCTAAGTCAGAAGTGTTCACAGCGTACCCAGGGACTAAGCACCCACCATGTGCTTCAGTGCAGCAGCAGCGGCACAACATACCTGACCCCCCGGTATACGCTGCCAGCTGCCACACCAGACCATACTGTAAGCCCACAAACACCTGAGAGCCTCCTTGTGGCCAACACACACCGCTGCTATTCCCCCAAATTATTCTACCCCCGTGAACTCAAGGCTCCTGTGAAGGAAGCACTTTGCAGGACACATACCAGGCTCTTGACGACTTTCAGCAGCTCCTCCATGACCACAGCAATTCCCTGGTAGCCAAGAAGCCGACAGATGACTTTGAAGTGTGGAGGGCCCACGAAGTTCCTGTAACTGCCATAAATGCTGGAATAGGCCAGGTTCAAAGCCTGGTGAGAAGAAAGAACACGAGCACTCGATAAAACCTCAAGCTGTAACCACGGTCCTCATGCAAACACTCAGATGAAGCTTCTCCAGATAACGCGTCACTAACACAATTGTAAAACTCGCCCTTCAGGCTGCCCAAACCACTAGCACATCTTCTAATGATCAGGAAAAGCAATCTTCCCTAAATTAAAAAATAATAATTTGTTTTTCAACATTTACTGAAGTGTGAATTCTACAGGAGACATTTAAGGTAATATAAAAAGGAGTTCAAGAGATGCCTATTCACTGAAGCCAGTAGTTCAAAGCCACCACGAGTTGTGCAGGAGAAAGATGCGTCAGTCTGCTTCCATAAAGATAATGCTGCCTTACAAACTGTATGGGACAGATCTATTCTGTGCTATAGTTTCTCAATGACTCAATGGCAGTGGGCTTTTAGTGTGGGATTGGGAAAGAATCTATCTCAGGACCATATCTTTGCTTTCACAGAGCTACTCCGAGTCACCAAAGACAGCAGTCCCCTAGCAGAATGAAAGAGGGTCAGGTGGTTTTTTTGTAGGAGGGGCATCATGGAGCTCACCTTAAAGGATAGCTTGTGGGCCGCCCTCCACACTTCAAGGAGACACACTTGTACCAAAAAAACAACAAGCTATGTGCAAGCAGGGAGCCAAGCAGGGATCTGCCAATCACGTTGGTCACTGCTGTAATCCCAATGAAGGTATCTGAGTTTTCTTTGAGGTTACTCTGTAATTTGTTCCTCACCCCATACCAGTTTAAAACAGTCTGTTTAATCCTGCAATATGCTTCTTTCCTCAACCTCTGGAATTTCTGTATCTACATGATTCCCTCTTTGGGCTACGCGTTTGCCTTCGTTATACGTTGCTATCTGTGGTTCCCTATTTTCAGTTGTGTAGGTTTGTGTAACTGTCAGGACTGAGTTCTGGGTGGTGGTGTTGTGTACATTAACCTCAGAAGATTCTCTACCACTGCAGCTTCTCAGTCCAAAGAACACCCTTTCGCATTTTTTTGTAATGTGGGTCTAATTATGACAAAGTCCTTTCATTTCTGTTTATCTGGAAATGTGTTAACTTCACCATTGTATTAGAGGCACAGCATTCAGGTTTCATAAATTCTGTGGCACTGTAGCCACCAGCAAGGTTGGTGGTTCAAACCCACCAGTCACACCTTGTAAACCTTATACAGAGTCGCTATGAGTCAGAAACAACAAAACTGCAATTAACAACAGCATTGTTATCCAACAGTACATGCTCGCATTGCTTGGTTAACACAAGAAATAAATTTAAAAAAAATTGTGAATTGTGCAGACTAGACCAATGTTAACTGAGCAACTAGTGTAGAAACTGAAGAATGGGAACCTAAACTTCTATGTAAAGCTTCACCAAACCACAATAAAAGGTTATTAAGAAAAAAATGGGCAATGAAGTGAAGCAGACATTTATTTCCCCATATAATAGCCAACAAACACACGAAAAGATGCTCAGCTCCGTTCGTCATGGAAGTCACTGCCACTGAGTCGGTTCTAATTCATAGTGACTTGACAGGACAGAGCAGAAGGGCCCCACAGGGTTCCTAAGGCTGTAAATCTTGAGGGAAGCCACAACTTCCTCCCTTGAAACAACTGGAAGGGCTTTAATCACTTTCGGTTTACTGCTGAGCCTTTAAACTACTGGCCCAACAGGACTCCCATGACCTATTCCCCCAAAACAAACGTGACCCCATATAGGATTTCTAGGAGTCCTGGTGTGGCGCTGTGGGTTAACACACTGGATTGCAAGGTTGGTTTGAACCGCAGGGTCAGTGGTTCAAGCTCACCAGCCACTCCTTGGAAACCCTATGCAGTGTTGTTATAAGTTGAAACCAACTCGATAACACTTAACAACAACTTGACAACACATAATAACAACAAAACGGATTTCTAAGACTCAATCATTCCCGGAGAAGACGGCTTCATCTTTCTCTAATGGCTTCTCCCCTGAAGCACTAGAGATAGATTAATCTGTCTTCTCCCATAGATTGGATTTGAACTACCGAACCTGCAGTTAGCAGTTTTACACCTAAGAAAACTAAAAGGGGAGACACGCAACAGGATTGTTCACGCTCAAAGACCGTAAGCAAATATTCACGCCTCAACTTGCAATATTGGATTCTATGGCAAAAATATTGAATGACGCAGAAAGCACCCTTAAGAAGATGAAAGAATACACAGAGCCACTCTTCCAAAAAGAAATGGGCAATGTTCAGATATTTCAGGAGGTAGCACATGATCCAGAGCCAATGGTACTGAAGGAAGAAGTCCAAGGTGCATTGAAGGCACTGGTGAAGAACAAGGCTCCAGGAACTAATGGAATACAAACTGAAATCTTTCAACGAATGCATATAACACATAGCTGGCTTACAAACTTTCATGAGTGTGCTTAGTTTCAGAATGCTTTTCCAAATAGATCTGGTGAAAACGGATGGGGGATGATGAATAGGATTTTATGAATCAATTATAATTGTTAGCAGATTAATTGTGATTGTCACAACTGTAATTGTAGAAGATGTGTAACTAAAAGGAGAGAATAGTCAATCTTTCATTTCAGGAACAGACAATCCCAGCACCATGAAGAAGGACGAGCATGAGAAGAGTGTGAGCTCCTATTTATGGGAGGGCTGACGGCAGAGACGGAGGCAGAGGTGGCATGGAGAGAGACAGAGCAGCTGCGGGCTCTAGGCCCATGGACTGAGAAAGGCTGTGTACAGCCTGCAGGCAGGAGGCTGGTTTGCAAATGTGCCCTTTCAACATTTAAATGAATATATATTTTTTGTTCTGTATGCATACATCAAATATTTTTACCTTGTGAAAAATATGATGGAACAGGAAAGCCAGAAAGAAAGAAAGAGAAAAAAAAAAATAATAATGTACCTGAGGACAAAGATGAGAAGGGATGGGAAAGTGGGTGGGCTGGACCTGGGAACCACAGGGAGGAAACAGGATAACTGTTGTTGCAGGAAGGGGATTGCAATCATTGAGATAAAACCAAGTGTGTGATTTGTTGAATGTAAAACTGATGATAGTGTCTGTAAACCTTCACTGGATTCACAGTAAAAAGTTTTTTACAAAATAGACTGAAAATAGGGAACCAGAGATACAGTTGCCAACAACAGCAGCAAAAAATAAAATTAAAAGAGGGAATAATGCAGTTAGAGAACTTCCCAATGAAGAACAAAATAAAACAGAAAAACAAATAAAAATAAACCTAACTGTAACCCTAAAAGTAATACCAAGACTTACTCTTACGTCTACCCCAATCCTTACCCCTAACACTAACCCCAATTCAAACCCTAACAATAAACGAAGTCTTGTGCTTAATCTAGTCCTAGCTATAGGCCCAACCCTAATCCTCACTCCTTGCTCCTATCCACAAACCTCCCAAAACACAGAGTGGCGAGCACAAGCCTTGGAAAAAATGTATCAGAGTAAATTTTTTTTAATGATTTTAATTTATTTTTAAGTTCTTAAAAAGCAATATTGATAATATAATGGGATTACAGCATATATCCACTGTCAGTTTGTTCTACAGTGGATTGTGAGTTGCTATTGAAGGAGCTCTGGTAGCATAGTGGTTACGAATTGGGCTGCGTACCTCACGGTCAGCAGTTCGAAACTACCAGCAGCTCCATGGGAGAAAGATGAGGCTTTCTGCCCCTGTAAAGATTTATAGCCTGAAACGCTGTGCAGGGTCGCTATGAGTCGGAACTGACTCCATGGCACACCACCAATACCACTGATGCTAGAAGCTGTATCAGCAGTATTTTAAATAACAGCAGGGTCACCGATTGGGGACTGGTTTCCATGGAGCTTTAACACAAAGACAGACTAGAAAGAAAGACTAAGTCACTGAAAGCCTTGTGAGTAGCAGCGGTACACACAGAGACAGATGAGGAGTCTGGAAAATACTTAGAATACGACTGGGGAAGATGACAAAAGTGATGTGAACAAAGAAAAGCTTTCGGGAACCTTCATTTGTTAACGGGAACAACTCAAAATAGAATAAATAACTGCAAACATCCATTCACAAACGGAAAGGGGAATGTACAAAGTATAAAATTAGGAAAATTTGAAGTCCTTGAAAAAGAAACAGAATGCACACCTATCTATATCTGAAGCATTAGTGAGCCAAAATGGACTGGTATCAGTCATTGTGAATCAGACAATCTTATAGTTTATTATGCCAAATTGAAGAAGAATGGCATCCGATTCATTGTCAAAGAACATTTCAAGATCTTGAAGTACAATGCTGTTTGTGATATGATTAATACCCATACATCTATAAGGAAGACCAGTTAATACCACTATTTACAAATTTACAGACCAACCACTAAAGTAAATGATACAAAACTGAAGGAGTCTACCAACTTCTTCAATCTGAAATTGAGCAAACATCCATGGCAGCACTGATGAACTCAAGGGTAGCAACAGTAGTGAAGTTGGCCCAGGATCGGGCAGTGTTTCGTTCTGCTGTGCATAAGGTTGCTATGAGTCAGTACCAACTCGATGGCACCTAACAACAACAATACACAGAGACCTCACCAGATGAAATCCAGAGGAATCAAATTGACTACATCTGTGGGAAGAGACAATGGAGGATCGCAATATGATTAGTAAAAACAAGATCAAGACTCGAACATGGAATGGAACATGACTGATGATATGAAAATACAGGTGGAAGCTGAAGAAAATTAAAACAAGTCCACAAGAGCCAAAATGCGACCCGAAGTATATCCTGCTTGAATACAGAGACCAGCTCAAAAAAAGGCTTAATGCCTTAGACATTAATGACTGGTAGACACTTAGGAGTGAAGATTAGCAGAGGTGTGGTATAACATCAAGAACGTAATATAAGATGATAGCAAAAGGTCATTAAAAACAACGTAAAGCCCAAAATGGGTGTCAGAAGACACTCTGAAACACAGAGAACATTGAGGTATATAAGCGGAACAGAAAATGTCAAAGTGCAGCTCAAGCAGACAAAGTGAGGTATTACAATAAAATGTACAAAGACCTGGAATTAGAAAACCAAAAGGGAAGCGCATACTCAGCATTTCTCAAACTGAAAGAACTAAAGAAAAAATTCAAGCCTCGTAATTTTTGCAATGTTGTTGTTAAGTACCATGGAGTCGGTTCCGACTTAGTGTCGGTTCCGACTTAGGGTCACTGTGAGCTGAAACCTAGCATATATAAAAGTACCTGAACACACTAGCTCAAGAAACATATAGTAAGGCAGCTAGAATTCTATGTATATATTTTGTGAGGTGGTGTAAATAGTATTTTAAAAGAGTACTCGAACACTTGCAGATGATAGC